AGAATGATTTTTATGACTATATGAAAAAATTATTTCTCCTTCTGTTTTTTTATTTATTTTTCTCAATCTAGAGATTGTATCTAGTGCCTTGAACATGCCAGAGAAGCATTCTACCTCTGACGAATAACCATACCTCAAAATTACTGATTTCAGTTACACTCCCTTCTCCTCTGGTCTTTATTTTAGGCTAGTTTGAAATTGTATTGGGTTTCTTCTTTAATCTCAGGAAAATCTAGATGACAAGTGAAAATGGAAATACTTTTAAAAAAATTCTCTGAGGGCAAAAGAGAAAGAAGTCCCCATGCTTTCCCTTCACCAAAAAACATTTTCTTTTCAAAACCTGTTTCTTTCTCTGTCTCTTTCATGTAGATGGATGGCTTCTGAAAATCTGAATAAAACCCTACTCAGCCTCATACTCCTTTTAGGCAGAGATCCATTTCTTAGAGGTTAGCTTAAATACCTAACATCTCTTAAAGTATAGGCACACCTGCCTGTATGTTGTTTAAATAGCAAAGTTTTTGTCCCTCAGGAAATGCTTCAAGATTCCACTCGGAGATGGCGTAAAATTGGCTTTTTTAGGAATACAAATGCACAAAAGAAGCTCCTCTGGCCAATGACAGTTCACAGGAGCACATAGACTGTGATAGCCCATCAGAAAGGAACTGTGAAGAAGTATTTGGGTCATCTGTACTTCCCCGGATCCCTTATAATGCCACTTCTGGCCATCAAATCAACAAGCAAATTCTCCCCTATCCTTTTCTGTAACTTGAGTTGTTTATAAACATTTCTGCTCCTGACATCCATGCTGGTCGACCTCACAATTTATCTTCCTTTTTGCCAAAAGGAATTCCTCCATAGTATAACATTTCATGGGTGTTGGGGCAGGGCAGCTAGCCTCTGCTAAGCAGCATATTTTCCTGCTCATTGAGAAGGTATAAAACTTTGATTTTTCTTTTTATGAACAGATTCAGATAACTGACAGACATATATTCAACATGTAACTGATTAATATTTTATATATTAATAATTGAGTCTGCATTTAGTGGGTTTCATGATACAACAGTTTTTTTCTAATGCTTATTCAAAGAAAACTTTTTTGTATTTGTAAAGAGGATTTCTAAGCAGGCAATAGATTTCCATTTTAATTAATGCTTAAACAAAGATCAAACCATAATTTTTTCTTCTTCATATTTAATGCAAAAAAAACATTTAATTATACAATATCAGGCACTCATAAATTCAGAAAATATCATTCACAATTATGTTGTTTCTGTATCAGCTGTCCCTGCATTAAATTGAAGGCCAAGAATGGATGGTTATTACTGACAATATCAGCAATATAATCTATGCTTTCATATCATTTGAATATGAATTAAATATCAAATCCTGGGTTGTTTTGCCTGAATTATGTATCATAATTTTACAATGACATTATTTATTTCTTACTTGCCACTATTTTCCACATAAGACTGCCAAGGCTATAGAGCAGGAAATAATTTATCAGGGTTCCATTACTGAGAAGTAGTCAAGAGTTGGATGATTTCTAACCTCGGTCTGCCTTCACCATTACTTGAATCATCCCACCTCACTAGTCAGGAGAGTGGTCAAAGTATGTTATCACCAGTTCCATCTAGACTCCCAATTAGTAGATCTGCTCATGAAAATTGGATCAAGACCTTGTCAGTGTTTCAGTGTTATGGCATCATGTAAGTGGTTTGCCCTGAATACTCATGGCCCTGTTTCCCAAACTGCATTTACTTGATAGCTATATTGTCTTGAAAGAGTTAGTTAATCTGTCTCAAATTCATTTTTTACATGACCAAGCAGGAATAATAAGACTTTCCTAAATCCATAGAAGAGTATGCTGAGTGGACTAAAGTATATGTGACCAGCTTTGGAGACAGAAGTCCACAGAAAAGAGTACTGAATTCACCTTAACACAGTATGTCTTCCAGAAGGTAAGACAGTGTCTTGCCAATCATTGAGACAAGAGCTTGTGTGTGACACTTTTTTAACTTGGATTTTACTTTTCCTAGACAGTAAATAGAAAAACTATTGTTGGTTTTGTTTTACTAAGTTTGGTGATCAGCAAAAAGGTCTCAGGCATCTCCCTGTTTAGCCTGGCCATTGTGCAAAATGTCAGGAACTGCATATGGGAAAGCTAATCAGTTAGAAGACTGGAATGGGAAATAATGATCTTGTTCTTGACATCTGCAGAGCCATGAAGCATTTCCTGGTTAGGTATTACCTAATCTCCCAAGGAGGCCACTAGAATCAGAGCATTACTGAGACACAGTGAGAAGGCGCCCACTGTTCTGCCATCACCCATAAGTACAGGAGCCATGGATCCCACACTCAACTTGGCCCCTAAGAATGGAAACCAAACCTTTACGACTACAAAACGACTTAGTAATAGCATCTTTCCCTGTAGCATCCTCATGACCGAATCCCGTTCTAATCATGTGACATCTTTGAAACTCCCTCATTAAATCCAATTTCCACATCTTAACACTTCTTCCTCTTGTTTCCCCTCCTCTAATGTCTTACCAAAGCTCTCGTGAAGTGGCACACCCCTTGCCTAGGCTAACAGCAAACCTGGGTTTGTTGAAGGCTGTGATGCTAATACAACTGAAGCAAGCTATCAACACAGCTGATTATTTAGAGTAGGAAATAGTTTATTAAATTATAAAAGCTCAATATATATATAATAAACA